TCTGTACAGACACGGCCTCTGCGAACATCCCTGTGCTTACGCTGTGGAAGTAACAAACTGAAATTCCTTCCACGCTTGCCTTCTCCTCTGATTCAGTTAGTTATGGAAGAATTACAGAGCATTCAACTCGCTTTTCTTCCCGGGTGGAAGAGAGGATGCAGTTATTGAGGGCTGGAGAGACCCATCTAAGTTGAAAGGAAAGCTTTTCCTAGACACTTCACAGGAGCTAGGCATAGTCCCAGGCTGACTTTCCAGGGAACAAATGAATAGTTATGACATGTTCAACACTTTTCCTCACATAAGCATGTGCTTTTTTATGTAGGTGAAGGCCTCCCATCACAACATACATGCTCATCTGGAATGAGATATCAACTATCCTTTATAGAACTTCAAAGTGTAAAGGCTTGCACGCACCTCCAAACCTCTCCAAAGGACTATTACAAACTCCTGACCTCAGTGGTTCAACTCATTCCTTATGCTCAATGACCTAGTATTTAATTCTTTGTTATTCACTCAACAGCTATTATGAGTTTGCTAAGTGCCAGGCAGGGGGCAAATTAGTCAATCAAATTTTGTAGCCCTAGGTAAAATAGAAAGACTAAATCCTACAAGAGGAATGCAGCCGGCTAAGGGCAAAGAGGGAGGTGATTGCTGATGGCTTAATATTGCAGGGGAACTGAAAAACAAAAAGTGTTCCAAATTAAATTACAACAATATATGCTTATGAAAATGTCCATTTCTCATAAAAACAGCCTTAAATTATACAATGCCTGTTTAATCTGAGTTTCTATTTTAGAGATATTAAGTGGAAAACAGGAGAAAAAAAAAGAATCCCAGAAAACTCATCATTACTGAATTAGAAATTTTGCTTATGACTCTTAGTTCAGTTGAAGAATGCTAACATGCTAAAACAAGACATTACCAAATTATATCAACAAACACGGCATGGAAACTTTTAAAAATATTCCACAAAATGAAAATAATTGTCTAGTTTATGAGACTGTGCTATGGATAAGACTATCTGAAGTACATAAATGAGAGCTGAAAACTAACATACTTCATGAAGGTGAAGAGATGTTACTCTTATGAGCAAGGTTGGTCTAAAGAAGAAGAGTACCAGGCTGTACCAAACTAGAAGCTGAAGGCTCTGCAACTCAGCTGTGTAATAATAATGAATAACTCAGTTAGTTAATGTTTCAATTTCATTTAAAAAAGGTATAGGCCAACAAACATTTAAACTACCTTCACTATTCTGACTTGCACAATATAGTAGGGTAAGTATAGTTAAAAAGTAACATTTTTTCCATCAGTGATTTTGAGAAGACTTAGAGTGAAAGAAATCATAAAAGTTCAAAAGATGTTACTGTCTTGCTTCACATATTTACTTACTGAAGAAAAGCATCTTACTCTAAGAAATTGAAAATGTAATATTTCAATTTTTTAATGTAATGAATATAGGAGATTTTTTTTTAAAAAGGCTAGCAACTATAGAGTGATAATAAACTGAAATCTGGAAAATGTCAGAGTAGTGGTGGTGAACCTTCGGCACATGCGCTGTAGCAGGCTGTTTGTACCATTGAAAGTGTTAAGAGGTTTGCCATCACCGGCCTAGGGTGCAAAGGGTGTAGGTTTACAAAAATACATCACCCCCAAATTCACTTTACACATATATTTTGCATTAACAAATGGGTATTTAATAGAGGTGTTCCTTTATCCCTACACAAACTGTTGCAGACTGTGGAGACATATGGATGGACAACATAATCTCAGGACTTTTCGAGTTTAGATTCTATCAGAGGAGTTCAAAATAAATGAGAAAAAAGAAATATACAGAATCTTTCCATGTTGTATCAAATCTTGGTAAATGAAATAGGGGATTTTGTTACATAGAAGCAGAGGGCTAGAGGAAGGTGGGCAGAGAAAAGGAGACAAAATGACGAGAATTTCTTGTTATGTTACATAGAAAGGTAAGAACATTTTCTCTTGCAAGATGCGAAGAACCAAGTGGAGAAACTGAGGATTGTAAGAAGTCACTCATGTCAACGATCAGGAGAAAAGCATATCAGAAAGTGTGCATGAAAGTGTGAAGGCTCTGTTACAAAAAATAGTTTGTCACCTTAAAAAACTACAATGTGGCAACAAATTTGAGATTTTTTCTAAGTGTAGTAGAAGTCATAAAGCAGAAAAGCTAAATGACCTAATTTATACATTTAAAAGATTACTTTATGATAAATGGCCAAATAAGGACGGAAGATCCTTAGGGTGCAAAGGGTGTAAGTTTACAAAAATACATCACCTCCAAATTAACTTTACACATATACTTTGCATCAACAAATGGAGATTCCAGGTAGGATTGGATATTGTAGAAACAGTATGTCTTGGTTTTGCCAGCACTAAGCAAAGATTCCCATTACTTTACGGATAAGTAGGAAAAATTGGGGAATAATCACAGAATATTTGGCTAAATTCATAAGTTGTTGAATAAGAATGTGCAAACAATATTGATTTCAAGGTCTGACAGAATCTAGTAGAAGATCTCTAATGGCATGCTGCCCTGCTCTGGTCAACATGTTGTATCAGTTATTTGAATGAGACACACTTATCAGATTTTCTGTTGACATTGAACTAGAGGAACAATCAATATGTCAGGTTAAAAAAAAGATTTAAAACAATTTCAAATGTGACTGAACAAAGGGTCACTATTACAAAGGTGAACTTCATGCAGGTAAATACAATAGTCTGAATTTAGGGTAGTCAAATAACTTGGATAACTGTGGATTAATAGAAACTCAATAAAAATCAATTCTCAGATTGTACCTGACTGTATGTTCAAAGCAAGTTTACAACACAAGGCCAGCTCTTTAAAAAAAAAATGAACATTGGTGTCAGAACATTGGTTAATTGAAAAAGAAGTTCACATCATGGGAAGCTACAGCACTTAGTATTCTCTGCAAAGGTCAAACCATATAAGTGGAATTGTGTACATCCTTAAAAGGTCACAATTTAATAGATGAATTAACGTGGTCCTGTTATGAAGAAGATAGCTCTGGATTAAGTACTTGGAGAAGGAAATAATTATGGAAGAAGATATATTTTCACTTATTTGAAGCCTAACCAGTATCATACAGTAAGAATTAGAAGTGAAAGTGACAGAGATGTAGATATTGTCTGGCTCAGTTTTAATGAAGAGATTGGCTTGTTTTTGTGTTACACTTTTGCAGCCTACTCTATGGCAAGATGCTTTATGATAAGCAGGTGAACTCTTCATCATTAGAATTTTTCAAACTGAATGACTATCAACAAGGCTTTGGGGACACGGGTAGAAAATGCTTATTTCATCAGTGGTGTAGGATAAATAAGATGGATTCCAAGTACTGGTCCTCAGGCCAAATTACCACTAAATGAGTTGGGAAATATTTCCTTGGGGTAGACTATTACATTAAGTGACTATTCTTGAATATGAGATCCTGTCTTTCTGATGTTTTTGATAGTAAAGATTCCTAAACTTCCCCCCCACCAAAATAGTCTCCTGGTTGGTAGTTTGATTTTTAAATGCAGCTTTGAAAACTGAAAGGCTGGTAATGCTATCTCCATCTTAGTTTTGTTGTTACTGTTAAAATCTTCTTATACTATGGAATACAAAGATCAAAGCATTGTGAGAGCTATTGAGTACAGATATGATCCCCTATTCTTAGCATGCAGGATTCTGGGATTGTTTTCTAAAGTGAATCCAGAAAGACTCACTTGTCATTACTGAAGCCAAGGGGAATAAGACATTGGCTCCACAGCACTTAAGCAGATACATTGTTCTTTTGTTATACCGAGCACCTAAGAATATTTACAAGAGCATCTGAAGAGACGTTCACAACCAAAATAAAACTGGGATATTTTATCTACATTATTTTCAGAAAATTCATTTCTTAACTAATAAAAATGCCACCAAACAACAATAATAGATTAAACACTGGTTATTAGGTACATTTGATACTGAATTCCTGGAGGGGATTTTGTTAATAAGAACATTCTACAGTGTTTTCATCAACATATTTAGCAATCATGAAACCCATGACACTGCTATATAGTTGGGACTGCACATAAGGAAATATAAAATCACCTTTAAATCCATAAACCTTAAAAAGTGAAGCTGCACATCACACTTAGAGGCCTCTCTACTCAAATGTTTACTATCTGCTCATGCTCTTGGATTTAACTTATTTCTAAATTCTGGATTTTTTGATACGTTCATGAATCTTTATTGAACAAAGTGATCTCAAGAGATGGTAATCTGTTTTTTAATGTTCTAAATTGGGAGTATAACATGTGAGTAACACTTTATGTCTACCTTCAGTTATTATTGTAGTTTTTCTTTTTTTCCTATTCTAAGGAAATTTTTTAAAAATTAGAGAGTTATAGGGGCTGGGGATTTAGCTCAGCGGCAAAGCGCCTGCCTGGCAAGCGCAAGGTCGTGAGTTCGGTTCCTGGTACCGGAGAAAAACCAAAAAAACCAAAACGAAAACAAAACAAAACAAAAAATTAGAGAGTTATAGAATTAACTGGTTGCTGAATTTTTTAATTGTAATTTTTCTTTTCCTTTTCCAGCTCTAAGCTTTATGATTAAGTATGTCTCCTAATGACAGGTTACTTGAAGTTCAATTGCTTTTTCTTAATAAACATTCTACTTAAAACATATGAAACTTGGGCACATAAATTTATACATGTGTAAACTTTAATGTATGCAAATTTATTTCTATATAAGGCAACATCTAATCAAATTATCCCATAATCAATCTGAGGCTTTAACAAAGCAGAAACATGTATCTTACCACTCATATTTATAATTTATCCTACAAATAAGATATTTCTCAAATATAAAAAAGGATAAACAAGATCATACAATAAATTATCTTAGGTTTTTAAAAAGAAATTATTTTAAAGGCTTACTAATACAATGGTATTAGAACTCAAAGTAACATCTACAGCACTGTATAAACGCTACTTACAAGCGAACTGAAGCTTTGCTTCTCTGCTAACGACTGTGCCGAATGAGTTTGTTGCTATGCACTGGTACGTTCCAGTATCTTGGGTTTTATTGGGGTTATTGATCAACAAGCTGCCTTCAACAAGACTGTAGCGGAAATCCATTCCAATGTCAACATCTGTCCCATTTAACTTCCACCTATAGTATAAAAATGTGAGTAGATAAAGCCTTGTAATATTAATCAATAAGTTTCAATTGTCTAAAATATATAAAAAATATAAATCACATGAACTATCATTTGTAAATTTTTTATAGCATGGCTAAAAAAACCAGATCTGCTCTACTCAGCCATGGTGACGTCTGAAGTGTTTACAGAAAGAGCACATCCTTTAAAGTAAACAACAATAATAAATTTTTAACACCTGTTTCTGAGACTACTTCAATGCTTAAAACACTTGTGGCAGACAGTAGATTTCCCATAGCACCTAGTGCAACTTTCTTCAAATAGAGCTCCTCAGTAAAGCTATTCTATCTAGTTTGCAGTTATTCTTTAAACGGGGTTATATGGATGACATAATTCACCAGTTTCAGGTAGATTGCTGAGTATTTGATGAAACTGCAGCACAGTTGCTCTGATATGGTCCTTAAAATGAGTGAAGGGGCTAACTGCCAAGCAGGAGAATTCTATTGATCTACAGCTAGTTTGGGGATTGCTATGAAGAACTCTTCAGCTACTCACACTCAAAGCGTTAACCAAGCATCCCAGTAGACTGAAGGTCAAGTTCTGAGGTGACTGAAGAAAAGACTATTCTGCTGTCCTCCTGAGTATTTATCTGGATCACCGTGAATATTACTACAGTACTTAGCCCAATAACTAGGTTTAGTGGGACTCACATATTTCAACAGTGAAACTTTAGTAAGAAGATCCACAATTTTATTTCTATATCCCCTTATCCAAAGAGTTTATCTTAACCAAATCACCTTCCAAGAAGTCATTTGAATACTTACAAACTTTTGAGTTAACACAATTCAATGACTATCTTGTTTCTTTACCCACAACTCCACATATTACACGGACTATAGCCAATGTAAACAGCATACCTGTAGTTTGGGAATTATCAAAGAATCTCATAGTAGCAATAATAATAACTTTGGGAGATCAAAAGTAAGAAAACACTCTGGCACAAAGGAAAATGATCCTAAGCCATGCATATGTACATTCATCATACACCCTTTATAATATTCCAGGGCAATCTGGTTGTGTGTGCATAATGCAAAAGGATTTAAATGGAAAAATTGCAGGCCAGTTATTTTCAAGATTTTGGATATTTGGTACCAGCAAAAACAAATGTACATATAAGTAATCCTTTGTTTCTGTCAAGATTTCCCTCATACTTCAAAGTCAATCTTAAAGGACACTGTTTACAATGACGTCTTCCTGAATATTCCTAGTGAATATTAATCAGAGCTGCCCACTTTCCTAAAGAAGTCTCCCTGCTCCTTTATGTAAGAATTCTGCTTCCACTATAGAAAATTTGCTATGCACTTTTGCATTCTCAGTTTAGTCATCCAGAAGCTGACTCTCTCAATGTACAAAATAAACATTTGATGAATTAATTGGTTTGATATTTTACTTCTTTGCTAGATATTTGAACTTTGAACATGCACAGTTCATGAACTCCCCTAACACACCATAGCAAGCAGCATATATTTATTCACATCTGTAGTTCAGAAATATAAAAACCCAGAAGCAAGAGGGGTGCGGTGGAGAAAGTGGACTAGAAGGATAAAATAGGACATAGCTCTTTGTGTTTGCTTATAAGAAGGTGAGTATTAGAAATTGACAAGGTTTTTAGGCTCAACAGTAATTCTCTGTGCTCTGACACAGACAAGAAAGTAATAAGCAATAAAGAGAACAGCCAGAGTTATATTCCAACAGTGCTGTACGCACATGAATCTCTAGAGCTGACTCCTGCTTTAGACACTTGTTTTTAGTCAGCTGATCACGTCTCGGCCATAACTCTCAGTTCAAATGATAGTCAAGCAGTTTAATATGACTAATCTAAGAACTCAAAGAGGAAATTGCAATATAATGTGAGAGGCAAGCAGAGTGTGGAATTTGGGAATGGGACCATGTGAGTCTCTTTTAGAAGAGTGGTTGTGGGAATAATAACTTCTGTAGGTTTCTCTACACCAGTCATCTCAACCACAGTGCTGCGCAGGAAGTCTGTTAATCTACTTTATTGCCTTCTTTTACATACAAACAGGAAAGGAAAGGGGATTACTTAGAAAATAAAGTGCTTTCTGAGAAATGCAGTTGGGTCTCTACTGCAAAGCACAATAGAAAGTTTTATCGCAATGCAGTCAGCGTTCATTCCAATTGAATGTGTATTGCCCTGAAATCCTGATCTCATTGCATAATGAAACACTCTTGAAAAATTCACAATTTACTTTCAATGTTTGAGCAATCTTTTAAGTACTAGTAATATAGAGGCAATGCTCATTTGGAGCAAACCAGAGATTTTCCCAAGGGGCAAGGCAGATTGTTGTCTTATAAGCTCATTTCTGATGTTTTGGGGCTACCAAGACTCAACTCTCCCAAGAGAGTAGTGTTGTGTACAACCAAGCATGGACACTGTGAAGCCCTGAAGGCATCATTTTTAGACTTTACTGGGAAGCTGTCCTTGGGATTTGCTACAGCAAAACCCTCTTTTCTGTTAACTGTTTGAACTTGGCACTAAGGGAGGGGCAAGGCCTTTCCGACTTAGAATGTGTGCTCTGCTAACTCAGTTGAATACAAACCTCACAGCAGAAGTACTCCAACCAAGTACTCGAATGTTTCTTCAGTGTGGAAATGGACGGTGAGTGAAATAAGTAATGTCATCTGTCCTCAGGGAACTTTAATACAAGTGAAACTGGCACAAGTCAAAACTTCTTAAATTTTTCTGGGTCTGGGTCAATCCTTTCAAAATTGAGGGGCAGGAAACAATGAAAAGAAAAGACTCAGTTGAGGGAATAAACACAAAGAAAAGAGGTCAGCTGGGGTGTCCAAGGAAAAAATCTGATGCTGAAGATCCCCATGGAGAGCTCACTTTGGAATTTTTCCTACTTCTTACCACTGAAAGTCAACTTGAAGACTGAAAATGTTCATCCAGCAAGACGTTTGAAAATACATGATCTCTCCACTCTTTCTCTTGCTCTGTGCTTCAAAAAGAGTGCTTTTAGCTTGCAGGTACCAATCTGCTATTCTGTCAAAGGAAATGGCCAAAGGTATCGAAACAAGCAAAATGCACTGCAAGGAACTGCTGGTGCATTTGATCAGAAGTTTTCAAAACATAATAGGTTTCTGTTCCACAACTTGTTTTAAATAAGAAGGCAAGGCCCTATATATATAGAAACACCATATCACAAAAACAATGTTAATTAAAGGTCATAGATTGAGGCAAAATAAAGCAGCAACTTGCCAAATTCTGCTGCAAATTTTGTTTTTACTTATAGCTGACATCTGAACTTATTCTTGGCTATGTACTGAAACCTGGATCAGTTAACTCATTCATACATCTAGAAGCTTTTGCCTCTTGCATTTAATTTTACTACATAATGTAATTGAAACTATTTCGTCTGTTGCACTACATTATAGGTAGAAAATGTATTCTAGTTTACTCAGGACAGTGCTAAATTATAGCTGCTGTCTTGGAAGAATTATAAACAGTTGTCTTTTACTCTTAAAGTGTACTGTTTGGGTTAATAAATCATATATTTACTCTAAGTCCAGGATCCATTCAAATTAAAGAGTTGATCTTTACTTTCTGGAATATACCTCTTTTTATCATCTACATGATAAAAGAGCAGTTGTCCTTCAAAGTTACAGTATCTTCTTTGCTTTGAAATCTTCAGTGGTTAACCAAAAAAAAAATCAAATATTAAGGGGCTGGAGTTAGTGGCACAGCACCTGCTCAGCAAGCACAAGGTCATGAGTTCAATCCCCGGTACAAGAAAAAAAAAAAAGAAAGAAATCTTCAGTGGTATCTGTTTTCCACATTCTAAATTAGACTCTCCTTTCTGTAAGGTGCCATAGAACTTAGGCAAGCTCTTCCACATTTATATCACAGTGCTACATATAGGCTACTCACCAATCACATTGTAGAATGTGTTATGATGTATTAATCTTTGAATGTCTTGAACTTTGTGTGGTACCTCTACATTGCAGCTATTTAAAATAGTGGTTACATATTTTTCCTAATTGACATATTTGTCAGAGTCCAATGCATATACTAATTCAAGAGCTCCAAAGGTAAAATCTTGAGCAAAGATCGCTCTTCTTCATTCCAGGGATGCAACATTTGGAAAACACTAGCTTAGTTTGTTGATGAATGGTGAAATGTTTGATGAATAAATGTAAGGAGGAAGGAGTGCATAAATTAAATTTCAAAATCATATACACTATGGTGACATTACTGTCCTTGATCTTTTAGGGAATATCTTTGTTCTCTGCCTATTTGAAAACTACCTGTGTTGGTTTAAATCTCATTTCTCCTGTGAATCTTGTCTGATGACTCCAAACTCTCCCATACTATATTATACACATGTTTTTAATATAATAGTCTTTATTAACCCTTGGCTTAGATTCTTCATCATTATGTTAGAACAGAGGCTAAATAATGCTTAGAAGACTTAAGTTATAAAGAATCTGAGAAAATGATGCTGAAGAAAAGGAATAATACTGACACCATGGCTAATGTTTCCCGTATCTACTACCTTTCTCAATGGTTAGTTATAATCTTCAATTTTGGCTTATTCACTTCTATTACAGTCAAGGTGAATTGCCAGTGTGATTGGCTCGGAAGATGCCCAGGGGGTTAGTAAAGTACACTTCTGGGTTTGTCTGGGTAGGTCATGGAGGCCTGACCTTGACATCTGTATCTGGTCTCTCGCTCATTTCTCTCTGGCACAGTTCCCTTGCTGTACTTCCTGGCTGCCATGGATTGTCCATCTTTGCTCTTCCACACTCTTCTACCGCAATGTTTCTCCCTTAGGGCCAGCCGACCATGGCCTGAACTCAATAAAGCCCTGAGCCAAATTTAACCTCTCCTTTCAGTTGTGTGTATTGTGTCTCGGTGACAGGAAAGCGGACTAATATAATTTCCATAATTTTTAAATGGTTTTATCATGTATGGAAATATCCCATGAAAGACTTCAGAACATGATGATGTAAAACTTACTCCTCTCATATAACTGTGTTAAGGGTACTTGAAAAACAGCAGTCCCAAGAAGGTCACCCTATCCTTCACTCAGTTTCAAATAATTAGAAGATGTAATTTGTATGTGAAAGATGGCCTCCCTATTGTAGAAGGAAACTAACATACTTTTCATTAAGAACAGGAAGCCAAAACAGAAAAATTCTGTACAGACCCTGCTAAATATTTTCTTTTAGCCTCTTGCATAATTTAGTTAGCTTCTCACAATGTACTACTCTCTGTCTAATTCATTACATGTACTCAATGATAATTATATCTTTTGGTCTTCTTTTGCTTGTGAAGATTCCCTGGTCATATAAAATTTATATTAAATAAATATGTATGCTTTTTTCCTGTTGATCTGTTTTATGTTAGTTTAATTCTCAGGACCAGCAGAAAACACTAAGAGTGCAGAGGTGAAGTCCTCTATGCCTTCAACAACAACTCCATCTTAATTGCTCTTGAGCTTTATAAATATAGAATTATATGCTACACATTCTGTTGTGACATGCTTTGTTTCCTCAAAATTATTTTATATGAAGCTATAATTCTCTCATTTTCAGTAGTGCATGTGGGTACTTTGTATCAATGCAACAGGTTTTGCTTATTCCCAGAATATACTATGAGATTATACCTACTACACCATAGAGTATATGCACCTTCTTTACTAGAGAATACTTCTTCTTCGTTGGGAGCTTTTACCAGGTGACATTTCTACTGGCCAGTGTTCAAGGATTCTGTTTGCTTGACATCTTTACCAACATGTTGTCAGTCCTCCAAGTTTTTGTCAATCCAGTAAGTGTGAAACAGTATGTCATTCTGTTTTTAATTGCATATTTCTGTTCACTAATGAGATTGACAAACTTTATATATGTTCACTGCATATCTGGGATTCATTTTCTTAGAAAGACCTGCTCGATTGGATATGCAATCTTTTTAACCATATGGATAATCTATCGTCTAGGATATCACTTTTCAACTTATTCATAGTATTGTCATGAATTTTAAGATTTCTTTTTATTTTCACAGGATGGTGTTTTTATTGTTTAGTACAATGGGTTCTTATGAGGAATTACTAGTATTAGCACTTTATTTACTTATCATCCGTTCTTATACGTTGAGTCTATCTAGAAGAATTTTTAACTTGCCTCCAGTATGTCTTTTAGAATTTCCTTTAGCAGAAGTACAGGAATTACACTTTTATCTTATCTTCCTGAAGACATATTTATCCTGTTCTCCTGTCTTTAGTTTCCAGTGGACATATAAAAGCTGTACATATTTATTGGTGCAGCGTGATAGTTTGGTATATGTGATAATTGCCACACACATATAGCACACTAAGGGCAATTAGCATTTGTTTGTGTTGGAAAGAGTCAGACTCCTCTGTTCCAAATATTTTGAAATACATAATAAACTGTTTTAAACTGTAGTCTTCCTACTGTGCTGTAGAATACTAGAACGTGTTCCTCTTCACTTCTGTATTTTGGGACTTGTTATCCAACCTCTCATTTTCTTGTCTTCCCTCTTCTCCTTATAGGCTCTCGTAACCACTACTCCACTCTCTACTTCTATGAGATCAACCTTTCAGCTTCCACATACAAGTAAACCATGCAGCATTTGCCTTTCATTGCCTGACTTTCACCTAACATTATGTCCCCCAGTTCTACCAACATTACGAAAATGGCAGAATTCCATCCTTATTTTACAGGTGTCTAATATTCCATGGTGTACAGATCACATTTTTTTAACCTTCATTTATTGATGGACACCTCAGCTGATTCCATATCTTGGCTTCTGTGAATGATACTACAGCAAACAGGTATCTTTTTGAAATACTTATTTCCTTTGGCTTTATCTTCAGCAGTGGAGTAGCTAGGTCATATGGCAGGTTTCTTTTTAGTTTTTTGAGGAAACATCATACAATTATTCATAATGGCTATACTAATTCACATTCCTACCAACAACGTATAAGAGTTTCCTTTCCTTTTCACCCTAACTAGTCTTCATAATTTTTTGGAAAAAAAATTCTTCATTCTCCTTTTCTTCCATCTATAAATTTGACTGTTAAATTCTCTCAGTATACTGAAGGATCTACATTCTGCCTCTTCTTGTTTTCATTGTTACTGCTACTGAGAAGTCCATTGACAGTTTAATTGCCATCTTTTGCAGAATATCTGTATCACAACTCTGGCTATTTTTATGATTATTTCTTTGACTTGGTGTCCTGCTGCGTCACTACTGTAGATAAGGCTTCATTTTTATTTGTACTGCCTGACACCCAAGGGCCTTTGTAAATCTGTGGGCTGCAAGTTTTTATTAGTAGTGAAAAATTCGGAGTCTTCCCTTGAAATGTTGTTCCTGCTTTTCTTTCCTTGCCTTTCCTTCTGGAGCAGATTGGAGTCTGTTTCTGCCTCTGCCTTTATCTCTGTCAGTCTCCCTATCTCTGATATTCCCTTTCTCTTATCTTTTTCTGCTTGCATGATTTCCTTAGACCTGTCTTGCAGTTTACTAATTCTCTTTTTTACCTATATCTCGCTTGCCATGAAAAGCACTCAGACTCAAGGTTTGCAATGAGTAATTCCTGGTGCTTTACAGTCCTTCTGGAAAGAAAACTTAGTGCTTGTCCACATTTACTCTAAGCTGTAGCCCACAGATCTCCGGTTGTTCTGGGGAGCATCCTCATGCTAGAGCTTCCCGTTAGCTGAGCCTAGGCTTTGTCTTGTGACTGTGGTCCTCATGAGGATGCAGGACCCAAAGCTCAGGTTACTTTCATTAAATTGAAAACTCCCTTCAGTGTACAGTTTACCTTACTAGGCTCCAAACCCATTTACTCTTAGACTTCTGAGTATCACCTACTTTCCTAGCCTTTTACTGACACACTTTAAAATGGCACTGTTAATTTAAAATATGCTATGAGGGACTGTTAATGTTGTCACAAAGAGGGTCAATCAGAATCTTTAATTCTGAGTATTAGCAGATAAAGAAGTGGGGTACTTATCTTTGCATGAAATCAGCATCTCTTTAGGCTTCTTAGGATACCCTAAGATGCCTTTTAAGAAGTTCTTTATGTAATCAGCATATTTTGTAATACTCGCTGATTTTAATATTATAAACTATATTCATGGAATCACATGCTTTTAAATCAACAAACCTGATGTGAGGTTTTGGATTTCCTTTGACTTCACAGTTGAGCTTCACTTTTTTCTCCTCAGAATCCAAAGGGAACATTACATGATTTGGTTCTTGAATAAAAATTGGGCCATGCAGTGTGTAGTCATCTGAAACAAGAGGAGAAAATGTCCAAAATGAAGACATATTCCAAATAGGAGCAATAAGCAAAAACGCCATCATGAAAATAAAAATAAAGAAAAAAAATAATAGTGATATGCCACAGGTGGTTTCAAATGTGGGAAGAAAATCCCACTGAAGAATCATTTCATGCGATTCATTAAGAAGTGAAGAGAAAGGCTCTCCAAATCTCATGCTAATCACTTATTTTGTAATGACTTCTAAACACAGACTGTCTGGTATCTCCCCTTCTTTCCTTTACTTCTTTTTATTCCATCTGCCTTTGGCCCACCCTTTTTCTTTGTTAATATTTTGTGCCTGCTACATCCCTTTTGTGCTGCTGTCATTTTGTAAGCCTATGTAATGTCACAGAGTTAACATTTTTCTACTCTACAAGGAAAGAATGTATTTGGGGACAAGCAGTGATGATTTCTTAAAAGATAGTAATAAGAAATGGCTCTACATTGTTTATATATGCTATGATTTGGATCTTTAATGTCACGCAAAAGATTCATATGTTCAGAGGTGGGGCTTTTGGAAGGTGGAGGAGTAGTACTCATCAATGGGTCAGTCCACTGATTGAGTAATACCTGAATGTGCTGTTCAGGAGGTTGGTGTGTTAGAAGAGGCAGGTTCTGCTGGTGTGACCTAGAGGGGTACAACTCTCTCCCTGCTTCTACCCTTTGTTCTCTGCTTCCAGGTTTCCTTGGGATGAGCAGCTTTCCTCCACCTGTTTCTGTTTCTGCCTTGGAGCAAGCCAACCATAGACTGTAACCAAAATAAAATTCCCCTTCTTTGAGTTGTAAGTGTTGAGTATCGTGTCCTAGAAAGTCTCTCCCTCTCTCTCTTTCTTTCATGAACACACACACACACATATAAAACTTCCATAAAATATATATGTAAGCAAATAAAAAAACCCCTACAATCTGATGCTTAAATTATCAGCTTTGATGATTTGACTTCACAGATGATATGCTTAGATGATGCAGGAATGGCAAATATCTGCACATTTCTAAATGCTTTCTCTCAATAAGAGAAACCAGATACAGGCAACTTATTTTGTCCTTGGCTAGTAACAAAGTTTAAAGACTGGAATAATCTGCAAGCCATACATGAGTACCACTATACAGTAAATATTCTTCTAGAATACACACACATAAATATTCAAAAATGGATCTTGCTACTCTTGCCTATGAAAGTGATTTTCATTCTTCATAATAAAGTTCAAAACTATTCCCTAGAATCTTTTCAGGTCCTTACCTTTTCCATTAGCCATGTAATTTTCAAATTCCATCTCCCCATAGGCTCTTGGCTTTTCCATCAAGTATATCTGAATCTTTGTTTTGCCTTTCTCAGATTATAAGCTCCTTGAGAGCATGACTGTGCCTTACCCACTTTTGCATCTCCTAGGGTACCAAGTACCGAGGTATCTCTATAGAGGTTGATAAATATTTTTTTTTTACTTGAAAGTGTTTTTTCACTTTTTTTGTATTAAATTAGCTTATGTAGGCATTGTCTGATAAGTTTTAAAACAGAAGCACCAGTGGCTAAAATGTAAAGAATTAAGGGTTATCACCTCGCACCTCCTCTTAGGCATGATTACTCTGAAGGGTGTGAATTTCAACTACGATCCTAAAAAACCTTTATAATCAGCCTTTGCTTGATAGGTGATAAGGTCAGAATGAAATTATTCAACTGGATACGGACAGAGGAAAATAAATCAAGTTGGTTTCGGAATCTAGGTAAAGTCTGGCAAGATAATTATCCTTTGATGCTTTAACTTAGGTTTTAAAAAGCAAAAACAAATTTCACATTAAGGTTGTGATAAAAGAAAACGAGACAAGATGAGTATGAATTTTTTTGTAGAGAAGAAAGGGCCGCCCATGACTTTGGCATGAAAACAAGCAGATTCAGAAATACCATGAACAACAATTCAATGCCTTAGGTCAACTACTAACTCCAGGAGCTCTGAAAATCCACTTAATCTCACTAGCTCTCAGTTCTCCCATCAACGCAGTAACAGGATTGGCTTAGGCTAGTCAACTTAAATTGGTTAAAAATGGGAAAGCACCGTGAGTACTCTCCCACAATACACATGGACATGGACATGAAATGTGCACTTGACAATGTCATGAATTATATCACCAGCACCGTCCCTTCTCCCAACTCCCTGTGTCAAAATCTGAAGTCAATGAGAGACTTCAACAAAGAAAATAGGATGTCTAAGAAGCTAAAATAAAAGCATAGAAAAAAAGCATACGAGTATGCACTTTTTAAGTGTTTGTGGTTTAAAGCCAGATATTTAAGGATTCAGTTATTTACATTTCATATTTTCAATAATTACACATGTATTTTCAAAACAAATTTAGATTACTGGTCAAGGGTTAGTTCATTCCAACTGTGAAGTATTAAATACATTTTTGGCACCTCTAGTTGGATGAAAAATGTTCTTCACCAAGATCTCTAATATAACAGCAAGTTCAGTGGATTTTCTCTAACAAAGAAATACTGTATTTCCATTGTTGTCCCCAATTCCAAAATTATGTATGTGTATATATAATATCAATCATCTCAATTCATTGGTGTGCCTTGATTTGAATTTCATACAGAAATATACAGTCTATTACTAGTAATTCCACATAAGAATAAAACATAATAATGATTACCCAGGATGCAGCTGAGAGGCTGTGGATTAACATCTGTACTATTTCTCAGTGTAGCCATGCCATATTTAAATAACAAAAAGGATATTTTTTCCTGTGTACTTTGTCAGAAGAATTGATAATAACGATGCTTTGCATTTGCTATAAATAACACATTCCATCTAAAGTTCTATTTTTTCTTGGTTAACCAAGCTTATTGCCTGGAAATTATCATTAGCATACAGGGAATGGCACTTCTGTTCTCATCTAAGGAAATCCACAGCTTCCCATACATGATCTATTTGGTTGCACAGAGATGGAGAGAGAATTTAGGAAATTTACCTATTCAGGTGTAGAAACAGGTTATCCTAGCTTTTAAATCTTTAAACCAGGGTTACTAATATTTTTGAGGAAAAAAAAAAGCGTTGTTACATTTCACCAAAACCATGACATTTCTGCCCGAGTGAAAAAGAGACTTAGGAAAAGTGGTCCTAGAATGCATCATTTTAAAATTTGTTCTAAGTGTTGAAGCCATGAAGTGATTTTCCAGGGTGTTGAAGGCACACTCCCACAAAGTGTGTATTTGCTATTTTCAAAGACCAGCAGTCAAAGCTCATCCTTAGCTTTATCCAGTTAGTTATTCTATGCAACTAGAAGAATACTATAATCCTCATCCTAAAGAGGTAAAGAAACATTTCAGCAAACGAAGATTTAATAATCTGATATGTCGCAAAGCTAGATTGTAGATCACCTGCATTATAATCATGTCATGCTTGCTTTTTCAAACCCCAGGCAGACAGACTGTGCTAGAAGAATCTGGCATCCCTGAATTTGCTGATTAACCACACTCTCTGGATGATTCTTTTTCACACCCAAGTTAAAAAACTAAAATATAAAATTCCTATCCTTCGTTCTCCATGCCCCAGAAACTGAACGTTAGCTTTAGATGTACTCCTTGACTTCTTTTGTTGGCAGAAGTATAAAAATCTTCGCTTGATAACAAAGAAGTAACTTAGCACATGTCTAGACTCACAGCTGAGAGGGAAGCATCCAAGACAGAAAACTATAAATCTGACCCACATAAAGAAAATGGAAGGTCTGGGACTAAAGCTGGATAAACTCACTTTTCCTTAAAATCATTCAGAGTTGAATTCCAGAAGCTAAGTGTGAAACTTTCCCTAGGGTGCACTGAAGTGACAAGGAGCAGGGACACTGACCTACAGATAGCGTTTATCCTCCCCTGATATACACAGCTTTCCTGCTATAACCACCATCCTGTATTTGTAAGTAATGAGTTATGAATTTCTTGCTATTTAAGTGACAAGAAACCAGGGATAATATTTTTGTTGCTGAGTCCGCAACAAGGAGAAGCTTTACCCCTGAACCTCACCTGCCATGAAGAAGTTAGGGGAATAGACTCACATTAAAATTCCTGACCTCGGGGCTGGGGATTTAGCTCAGCGGCAAAGCGCCTGCCTGGCAAGCGCAAGGTCGTGAGTTCGGTTCTCGGTACCGGAGAAAAACCAAAAAAAAAAAAAAAATTCCTGACCTCTTAAGGGAGGGGGAAACAGTAATTTTTTTACCTTCTAATAATTCACAAAGATTATGGTTAAGAGAAAGCACCAGGGAGAAGTCAGAATGCAGATGGCCCAAACAGAGTTGTATTGAGTCTACATTATTGGTGTGAGGCCCAGCTGGTAGATAGAGTGTAGACACCATCACTGGTACAACATGATTCCCTCAGTTCTTTCCTCCTTGGCAACTATTTGCCAGTGGACCCTGCGGATCACTTCTACCACCATGCCCACATTTCCCATAGTTCCATGCTGCAGATACTCTTCTGGATTCATTTCTGAGTTAACCACATCTTTATATTGAGAAAGGAGAAGATCTTGCTGGAGGAAAGTCTGCTTTTATGCTTCAACAAAAAGTGGGGGAACATTTGAATTTTCAGAAAAAAAATTCAGGACCAAAACCTTATTTAAATTAAAGGTCAAGGTACAATAGCATGGACACTAACCCTTTTGTCCTTTTGTTGATCAAATATTGGAAATTATTATAATATACTGCTGTCAGCCAGTGATTCTCAAATTCCCTTTTCCACTGGATTCTTCTCTTCTCAAAATCAACTTGTTTGGAAGGGAGGCACAATCAGTATGTCTCTCGACCAACTTCTTTTAGTGCCTTCCCCAAGCATTTCAGAAATAAAATGTAGTGTCAGATCTAATTTTAGAACCAAAAGAGATGCACAGAATCACTGAACTTTAGATTAGATGATGTTATTCAATCATAATTATATTTCTCAGGTCACACACTAAAACTGTAATATATTTACAATGGGAACAAAA